ATTCCAAACCCATTAATTTTTTCCAAATCTAATTCTTTGGTTTTAGGGTTTATTATCGGGCAACTCCTAATCGAGTAAATAATTTTTTAATTTCAGAACATAATTAAATATTAACCATTTTATTTTAGATACTGAAAATATTTATTTATAACATATCCAAAAATTAGTTCTAAATACCAAGTACACAATTAATTACAAGTTTTGAAACTTAGGGAGCAATCTGCCTAGTAGTAGTTTGTCTAGAGCTTTCCGTACTAAATCGGGTATAACTCTTTGTACACGAATCTAATGACCAAGAAATTTTAAAAGAAGTTATTTGAAACATAGATGAACAAATTTTATTCTTTAAGTTTTACCCAAAAATCGACCTAAAATCCTTGAACATGCACCCCAAAATTCAGATAGAATTTACTCCTTATCAACACTAATTTATTAGTTCATTCCAAGCTAACTTTAAACATGTTTTAGTTCACTTAAATTTAGTCTAAGTCCAATCCAACCCATCATAACATACTTGGAAATTTTTCAAAACATCATAACATCATAAATCATCACAACAAGGCATCCATACATAGATTTATCCCAAGCATCAAGCATATAACCATTGAAAATTATTACAACCCATGAAATAAACACTAACAAAATAACTTAAAAAAAATAATTTAAGACATTAATCAGTCAAAAAAATGGAACCTACTTACCTCTTTTAGGTTTGATTAGAATTTCCTTAGCTCTTTTTATTTCCTTTTTCCCTTTCTCTTTTTCTTTCCTTTCCTTCCTCTCCTCACGTTTTTTTTTCCTTTCTTGCCTTTTCTCTCCCAATTTTTGGTACCTACGGGTTGCTAAAATTTTTCTCACTATTTTAACACTTGCTATATATATATATACTTACTTACCTTCAGCTCCAAGTGTTAGAAATTAATGGGACAAGGTGTAAAAGTTATGGGTGAGTCATGAGGAAAGGTGGTCGCTTTAGGACCACAATGGGGTGAGTTGGCCTTAAATTCATTTATTACATTTGCTTAGGTGTCTATATAAAATTTAGACTAATTAAACTCATTCATTAACTTAATTCAAGTAACTAAACCTACTTTCTTTCATAAAAAATTAGGAAAGTTCCATTTTTAAAATTCAGAATTTCTTTTTCCTCAAAATTCCAAGCAGTGTTACCTCCTAACCCATCTATACTAAAATATGCATAACTCTTTCTATATATATATATATATCCAAATATCATGAAATTTTATATAGAGCTATTGCACACATATAAAAATAACTTTTATTCTTTAAGTTGTTCTCAAAAATCAATTTAATGTCATCAAATAAATCTCACAAGATTCGGGCAGATTCTTCTTTCGAAATTCCAGCAAAATGCATTTCGAAACAACCTTCACCATAATGGATATAACTCTTAATGTATAGGTCAAAAAATTATAAAATGTTATACAGGTCTATTTAGCACATATATGAACAACTTTCATTCTTTAAGGGTTACCCAAAAATCACCCTAAAGTCCTCAAATAATTCACACAAAACTCGGGCAAAATATAGTCCTTAAAACTGCGATTTTGCATATTTGATTTCTTTAATAATTAAACCATTAATCGTAAGAACAATAACTTTAATTTAACATAAATCAATATTTCAAGCATTAATTTCTCATGATGAAATGAGAATTATACTTACTCTTAATATACGTATATATAGAATGATTCTAATACACGTCGCGTTATAAATAAGGGTTTTTACGGGGGTTACACTATGTATGCATGCTTTATACTCTACTATGTTGTTGATACAATCAAACTAAAGTTGGATAGCTATTGGATACTGTTTGCCATCTAAAGAAATTAGGATTGTCTTCACACCATTGTCCGATATATTCACGACTTCATCAAAGTACATAGTCTATTTCTCATCATTAGAGTCAACTATCTTGATTTCAAATGCCATGATTTCCTCATTAGAAAATCAAAATCTAATAGCTCATAATTATCGATGGCATTGTCTACCGTGTGATACTCGATTGTACTATCTTTTACTGATTTTCTTTTCATGTAGACGATATCGTATTTGCCAACAATACTTGTCATCACATAATCTTACTTGATAGATATGGCTTGTTGAAGATGTACTTGAGTGGATCCATTTTTGAGATCAATCAAATCGTGTAATAGAACATATACTTGTCTAAACCGTCCGACACTCCATACTAAGCTACAACAAATCTTTTCAAGTGTATTGTAATGAGATTCACAATCCATGAATTTCTTACTCATATAGTAAATTGCTTGTTCTTTTCTTCTATTATCGTCATGATGACCCAAAACGCAACTCATGGATGACTCGGTGACCATCGGATATGGAATTAATGGCTGATTGGGTATGGGTGGAACTAGAAGAGAGAGGTTTTATAGATACCACTTAATCATGTTAAAAGCTGATTGGAAAGTATCATCCTAAGTTCTTGGATTTCTTTTCCTTAATAGTCGAATGATAGGTTAACAAGTCACTATAAATTAAGAGATGAATCAAGTTATGTAGTTTAGATGGCCTAGAAAACCTTGACCTCCTTTTCACTCGTTAGGTGCCGGCATTGTCTAGATGGCTTTAACCTTGTCAAGATCTACTTTTATTCCTCTTACTCACAACAAACCCAAGTAACAACCTAAATGTACATTTTGCGGAGTTCAACTTTAACCGATATTTTCTTAGCCATTTAAACAACTTTCTCAAAGTTTGGATATAATCTTCTTTAGGTTTTGTTTTGACGATCATTTCATCCACATACAACTCAACTTCCTTGTACATCATATCATGGAAAAGAGTAACTATGGCCCATTGATAAGTCGCACCAACTTTTTTAACTCGAATGACATGACTTTGTAGTAATAAGTTCCCCATGGTGTAATTAAGGTGGTCTTCTCCATATCTTCTTCAATCATCTTAATCCGATTGTACCTTGAGAGCCTATCCATGAAGAAGTAAGTAGAGTTCTTTGTAGTATTATCTACCAAGTATATCGATGTAGGGTAATCATCTTTGGGACTGATTTTGTTTAGATTTTGAAAGTTGACACAAATTTTGATCTTTCCGTTCTTCTTTTCCACTACCATAATGTTGGACACCCAAGTCGGGTATTTGATGACCTTCGAAATCATGCCTCAAACTATTTAATGACTTCTTCCTTGACTTTATTAGGATATCTAGTCTCATTCTTCTCGGTCTCTACTTTATAGGTTTATGACCGGACAATAATAAGAGTTTGTGTACTATTATAACAAGTATCTAGTCAACACATGTCCTAATTTTTATTCAATTTAACCCTTATTAGTTTTTAATTTCAAGTTGATTTAATGCAATTATACCCCTAATTAAACCTATCCCTCAATTTTGTATTTTTTTAATTTTTAATTTTTTTGATAGTAAGTAATAAAATAAAATAAATGAAGATGAATTAAAAATAAGGAACAACCAATATAATAGATAAAAGATGATAATAATAAAAATAAAATAAAGAAATAAAAACTTAAAAGGGATAAAATTGGAAGAAAATATATAACCAAAAATTTGGGTTATGACATACACTATAAGCCTTTTTATGAACCCAGTACTTCATTCCAAAGAACACTGAACATTTTCAAAGATAAAAATCATAGTAATAGCAACTTTGTACACCATTGAAACAAGAAGCGTACACATTTTCTTTCCTTTTAACCAATGCAAATTATACAGTAGCTTAATCCACTGCATGATGAATTTGTCTTATTAAGATGAGCCCTGAAACAAAGAAGTTGAAGGCTGTAAAAGCAGATGTCAGCATTAAGGATTAGGATCCTCTTATGTTCCTAACAGCACCAATTATGATAACATGGACCGAAAGAGTCGGTTTTGTTGGACTTTGTTTTTGTTGCAGAGAGCTTCAATGTTGGTTTTCCATTGTCTAAGCCACAAACTTCATACCAAGTTAACTTGGATTGATGAAAGCAGATTCTCACCTCCTTAACTAAGCAGCTAGGTAGCGCTAAACAATAACTGATAGTATTAATAACGGTGCTTTTGCGTGTGTTTGTTTCTGGAAGCCCAAGATAACTTTACTAATGTAGCTGAGCACTCTTGGTTTATATTGGAAGGAATATTATGGTCTGACAGGTTTGATTCTGGAAATTTTCATCTGATAATGTGTTCCCTAAATTCAAAATTGCGAGCTAGTTCATTCTTCATGCTGCATCAGGGACGAACTTGGAACAACCACAGTTGGTGACATATCAGCTGTATACCGAGCGAGACTGTACATGGAGCATTTGCAGGCAACCACAAATGAAGTCATTAAAAGCCCAAAGATCGAAGATTTACAGTGCAATTTATATTAAAAGATCATTAGCACTTTAAACCGAAACAAGACAAAAATAGATAGATGCCATAAACAAAAGCAAAATTGTTTGGCATGAACCCAACTATAACCCAGAGGAACCAGTGAAACAGAACTGCCATTGGAATGGTGATAGCCTAGATAAAAATCAAATATCAGAATCAATATACTGTCATGGATTAAATATATATACTGTTCTGCTATCAACTATGTTACATTAATATCCGCAACAATATGCCTAGGAATGAAAGGCCTTTCTAAAAAGATGGGTCTACTTTTGGATTTTCCATCAAAACCAAGCTGTCTACATCAAAATTGATTTGTCAGTTGCAATATGATGACTGAAATTTTTCCCAAACGAGCTTGAGTAGATTGCATCAGCATATACAGAAGCATAGGGCTTCAACCTGAGCATATGGATCTGCAGTTGAGCTAAGTTTAAGGGCTCAAGCCATCCAGTTCTTCAACCCCATCTCAATATTTGTCGTCTCCCATCAAGACAGAAGCCAATAATTTTTCTTTACAAACTTCCTCCAAGTTAAGAAACTCAATACCACATGCAGAACAGCATGGCAGGGGACAGTGTCCCAGGCACTCAAAGAGACCACCATTATAACTCGGGTTCTTATCAGTCTGCCGCCTCAAGTTCTTCTTGATCATCTAGTTGAGAATCTTCTTTGATCAATTCTCCACCTCCACTCTCCTGATTTCCACCACTATTCCTGAAAAACAGTCCAGAAGATGAGGAAACATCTTCGTCGAGATCCTCTTCAATTTCTTTATCCTTCCATTTCGTTTTGATCTCACTATCCATCCACTTAGGGCAACGATGCATGACTCCAAGGACAGCCTCAACTGGTGCCTGAGTAGAAGGGCTTGAAGCATGCAATGATCCTTGGGTAAGATCATATCTCAAGCAAGAGCATTCAGGGGCTGGATGTGAGAGAAAAGACAATCGCTTTGATTTTGTCGATGCTTGCATTACTCCATCAATTAAACTTCTTCTAAGATGCCTTCGTATTGATGTCAGCCAGGTATGATTTGCTTGGTATAGGTGTTCGCGGTTTTCTTCTAAAAGCTTTACAACTTCCTTTCTATGGTACCGAAAAAAAATAAACAAATAAATAAACTGTGTTAACAGACAGGAAAAAGAAGAGGAAGACACATAATTTAGTGAAGTGAAATTACTACACAAGGTTGCAAGAATTGGATATCATGCTTACGTGTGTCAACTCTATATGTTTTAGTGCATAGTCACTTGCATTTAAGCAAACAGAATGAGGAAATGACTTTTTTAAACACAAGCATAGATAAAGATGTATAAAATTCTTAGCCAAATTCTGAATGAGGAAATGACTATATAAACCAACTTATCAAGTTGATCACAATACAAGAAAATAGGTAGACATTTAAGAAAAGACGAAAGAGGCTAGAGAAGACAGAAAATAGGTAGCCATTTAAGAAAACATGAGAGAGGCCAAAAAGACAAGGCACTCCCATTTTTTGAGGCGTGAATGTGTTTGAGGATAAAGTTTGCCATGAAAGTATTTCTGCAATTCTAAATTACTTCAATAGTTAAATTATTCACAAGCATGCACACTTCTGTTGATTGAGAAGATTACCTGTTTGGCTGGAATATTTTAGATGCAGCTGATTGGTAGAGCCTATGCCCCATTACCAAGCTGGCAAAATTTGGACGACCTTTCCCATCACGATCAAATCCAGGGATGAAAACATCAGCTTCAACACAAATAACATAGTCAATTGCTTCCCATAATAGTTTATGGGCATTAGTCCTTAACTCCATTACTGTACTCTCAGGCTCGTTATCACTCTCTGCCACCCAACCCCACCAACCTTCAATATTGTATGGATATTTAAGCCGAGGTGGAGGAGGTGGAAGTGGACGGGGTCGTGGGCCTGCATTTTTCCATGCTTCAAGCTTTTTCTCTCGCACAACATAAGGCGGAGCCCTTAATTTAGTGTCAACAAGGTTAACTTCACGACCATAAATTCTGCTGAGCTCCCATGCAGCACTGAGAGAAGTTCTATCAACAACATTTTCAAACATGGCATGAAGAGGAGTCAGTGTCCGCTGGCCACCAAAAACCTCTCCCCCGGAGACATATAAAATCGTGTCCCATGAATATCCATATGCACGTAGAAGAATACCAACCTGTAGAAAACCAATTAATTTAGATCAAAGTAGAACTTAAAATTTCTTTAAAAATTTTCCTTTTAAAAGATATCCTTCCTTGTTTTATAAAGTTAAAACAACCATTTTTGGGTATTGGGACCATCATCATAAGCCTTTTCATCACCCAATCAATGATTACAATAGAATGCAATGCAGAAAAGGTTGATCCTTCTGTAAAAGTTAAATCTGGAGATAACCCCACTCCCTTGACTGGTTAAGTGACAGAAATAGACTCAAAATGTAGTGTCTTGCTCATTAAAAATTCCCAGATATAAACAATAGAAAAATTAAGCTGCCTTAAATGGAGATTTGGAGTGAATCAGAATCACATTTCCTATGCATGAAATATTAAATAAGACAAAATCTGATACACACAAACTCTTACCTCTTCTGGCATCAATGGACATGAACCATTAAGACGTTGTTTGGCTGAATTTACAGAAAGCTTCCCCTTAACAATCCCACGTTTCTTCATCCAAGCTCGTTTGTGCTGAATAAGTTCGGTGTGCACATCCTTGGGAAGAGCTCCAAGACACAACACAACCAAGGTAAGCTTTGCTGTTCAAGGGCTCCAAAAATCAAAATCAATCATGAATGCTGGAATTGGTCCAGGTACCTGGAAGAGTTCAGCACAGCCATGGTATGCTAAGGCATCTCTTGTCATACCAGGATCAAAGGCTATAAATGGTCGACCAGGAGCCCGCAACCTGAAATAACTTGACAGTTCAGAAATCACAAAAAGACTATAACAATAAATCCTTCAATTAAGTGACGAGCAGACATTGACCTGTTCAACATTTTAGTTGCAAGTTCCTGGACCTCTTGCCGAAAACGTAAGGCATGAAAAGCAACTCTACACCTCAGCCTTTGATATTCTTCGAGATTGGGTGGAAGGATAGCCTACATCAGGACCAGAAAAGAAAATTTGACTCTCAATTTCTCAAAACCAGATGGGTTGCAAAATATCTCACCAGGAAATATTAGCTGCAGAGGCAAGTCAAGGCTTAAGTACAAGAATGCCCAAAGGAATCAAGTATATGTAAAATGCCAGTATGAGAATATGATAAGCTACTCCAAAATAGATGGAAAGGCAGGTGTTGAAAAGGAAACAAATAAGTAGAAATAATATTAAGTCACGTAAAACTATCTAAAATGAAACAAAATAGAGTATAAATAAATCTATACATGATTTCTGAATATTGAGTTTAGATATAACTACATGTCTACAGCTGTACCAAGAATGGTTGAAAATCAAGTACCTGCAAGCAACCCCCATTTGAAACAACTAATTCGACCACCGCATGCCTATTAAGTACTGGAAGAACGTGATGTAAATAAAAATACGGCGAAGCTGAATTAGGCACTTTGAATGATGGGATCTTTTTTTGCCTCCTCGCGCCTTTAAGATTTTGCGGAAGGGTTTTCACAACTTTAACATCTTTCACTAAAGCTGCCATGAATTGATCCTCATTATAAAGGTATGCAAAACTCTTGAACTGGGAACTGCAATGAACATTTCATAAAATTGACAGATGATGAATAATTAACAATTAAATTAATTTTGCCATCGACACGAATTTTAAGAGAGTTTATAACAGAAAAGGAGTCACCTGATTCCTTTGCTGCTTGTAGTTGATTGGATCTCAGGAATAACTAAAGTAGCATTAAGAAGCCGAGAAATCACAACCACATCACATATCTGAAAGATCAACAAGATTCAGAAGTTAGATTAACTGTGTTACACATTCATAGCAAATAATGCAACTAGAGCATGGTAGTCTCACCGAATTCCTTATTTCATGGAATCCACCTTGTATCCTAACAAAGACATACCCACTTGATTCTGATCTGGGATCTGTTGTATGCATATTGAAGTTAGGAACTCATGCTGTGTACGATCTAAACTTGAAAACACAAAACAAAAATTATAGCACAAAAGAATTCATTAGGAACAAAAGTTCCCTAGTTTCCTCATCAACCACTTTTGTGTCAATTCACAAATTGAATGAAGTATGGGACACGAACTAAACAATCTGATGAGAAGAACCACATCATTCAAATCTATCCATGTAAAGAAAAATGGATAGGGAATGTGTTATGCAGGGATAGAAACATCATAAGAAATGCCAATTTACAGCAACACAGAACCGATTTCATCGCACAAAAAGAATGAAATGTGCATGGAAGCGCAGCTAGGTAAAGCAACCAAGCCACACACATCACACAGGTTGTTGGCCAAATTTCAGTTTTGCCCTTTCTATATTGCAAATCCATACCAAAGTGCAAAAGAAATCGCAATCCAACTTCCATGGGCTTTCACTAAAGTTTTTTATTTGTCCTAGCATGCCTATGATCCTAAAATTTCAGAAAGCAACTGTCTCGCAGCAATGTCTAGCAACAAATACAGAACACAACCTGGTTCCTGTTCCATTTCGAGCTATTTAAGTTCCACAAACTATTAGAGAGCAATTACCATCTCCAATATCATGCAAGCTCTTTAAGTTCCATTTCCAGTTAGGTTTATAATACTGATTCCAATATACATAAAGCTACTCCAGAGTTTATCCTCCCAAAAACTTAAAAGGTCTCGAACTGTGTTTCTAGGCATAACCTACCAATTTCCCTCATAAACAAATTAAGTAATGGCACCTATTATCTGTGCTAACTTTGCAGTCTTTATGTGTTTAATTTTTACATTAACCCAAGTGATTGTGTGTATTCAATTTTGAATGAAACAAGTTTCATTCGTTATAAAACCAAGATAAAATAAAATTAGCTATATAATATTGCATTGATTTCATATGGTATTCTTCATTAGAAAACCAAAACAGCCTAGTGTAAGTTATAGAATTACAGTATCATATTTTTGTGATAAAAGCTAACCGGGATAATATCCTCTGGGATTTGCATCTGGATGTAAAGATTCAAGCCGCCTCACTGGACCCCATAGTCTTCTATACAAGGGATTCTGCACCACATGTTAAGAGCAATAAGTCCACAAATAGACAAAACTACGCAAAACATAAATATAAATCAGGGACCATATGATCCCCGTGCTGTAAGTCCAAAATTCCTACCAATACAAACCAAAAATTATTGCAGAGATTTAAAAAACAGATCCAAACTAAGGTCAAGAACACAAAATTTATCTAATTCAATGGAACAAGCAAATAAAATCATCTGGGTTTCGTTGAAAGGTCTGTATAGACCACCAAAAACCTTAAAACACTAAAAAATGAAGCCAAAACTCATGAAAACTGACTACTGCACTGATATACCAACCCAGAAAAAAAAAAAAAAAAAAAAAAGTCCACAACCAGCCAAACTAGAAACAAACCAACTCAAAACCCACCAAACCAGAACTAAATCTCAACAACAAAAACATTACAATATAAGCAAACAATTAAGAAATTGTTAAGAGTGGCAATAGTAGTGCATACATTTTTGGCAAAGTCAGGATTTTCAAAGACGGGTCTCCAAGAAAAGATTGTGACTGAAGATTGGTATTCAGCAATGCCTTCCTCAGTGAATCTCGCAAGCAAAAAATGTACAAACAGAGAAAAAGCTGACAGAACCAGCCCAACTAAACCAACCCACTTCAATTTGGACTTCATAACCATCTTCCCTTCTCCTTTCATTGCTATTAACCACTAAAGACCCCAACTTTCTAGTTTTCTCTGTGCAGGAGCATGAAAGAGAGAAACTTGAGGCCAAAAAAAAAAAAAAAAAAAAAGGTACTTGAAGAGGTAGAGAGAAGACAGTGAAGCAGTGGAAGTCCAGAGTCACGGAGAGAGCGAGTTTAAGGACACTTCTAAGATGTCCTATAAACTACAGATATGTCTAACTAGAGATTTTATTTTTTAGCCTTTGTTGGATCTAACCACTCAGTTTGGAGCGTGTGTCACACGTATCAATCAAGAAAAAGTAGTAGTTTTTTATATTGATTAGATGTTCAATTGCTATATATATAATCACACCTAAAGAAATGTCTTCGAATCAGCTTATTCGTAGATTAAAATTAATTCATTCTTTTTTAGTTGATTTTAATAATTTTGGTTAATGTATACACGTAATTACAACAATCAATGAGTGGTTACTTTCTTTTTTACGGACAAGTAAGTAAAGGACTTATATTTATGTAACTCGGTTTAAAAAAAAAATTAAATTTAAAAGAATAAACAGAAATCAAGGAAGAAAAAACACTAATGAAAACAGGTTTTCTGATTTGGGTGATGTCCCCAGCAGATAAAAAGGTCAAAGTTCCAAGCTTTGGTATCGGGTCACATGGCATGGAAGGCTTTTGGATTGCTTGGAGTGAGCATGTTTGATTACTTGCTTGCTTTGTCTCTTTATTGGGTCTTATTGGGTGGGTTATGTATGTATGTATGAGAGGAGGATCTGGGATTGGAGATATGGAGCAGATGATGCCTAACCCAACAAGCAACAATGCAAGGCAAAAAGAAAAGGTGGGGGACTGATAAAGGTGAAATTGAATTGGGAAAGAGAAAGGGACCAGCTACGACTTATTGGGTCAGAGAAGCACACTACTCTGGCTAAAGAGGGTAACTCAGAAAACGTTAGTAACTGGGTAGTAAATGCATTTGGTCACTGGAGTTATTGCCTGATTTGAAGTTTTTTTACTGGCACAGACTGAATTTGTTTTCCAAGGCCAGATAGTTTACTTGCCCATCTAGTGACTTGAATTATGAGGGACAGGAAATATTATGGATCTCGGACAGCATGGGTGAATGCCACTTAAAATCTTTACTGAACTATGACCGGCCATCTTATCGGCAAATAAACGTAGCCATTTTTCTGCTCTGATTTTTCAAAAATTGTAGCTTCAGGCTTCTTTACGAAAATTTCCTCTCTCCAAGGGCTCAAACCCAATTCCCTGGGCCATCAAACCTTCCTGCCTGCCTCTTGTGCAGCTATTGATGATCAAGTCCTGCAGAGTTTCAAGTTCCAACTTCCAGGTCAATAAATTAATCTGGCTTTCCCATTTTGGTTTGCTCAGACATTATCGTGTGTAGAAAAAACATGTGACAAGTTTGGATGGCTGGCTGGCTCATATGCCTGTGTCATAATGGAGGTAATAGTTGTTTTTAAAGGAACTTTTTTTTTCTTAAAATAGCAAAGAGGATAACATCTTGCTTCCTGAACATGTGAAAGCCATACCTCGAACGTCTTCTTTCATCCAACATTACTCTATTTTAAGGCCATGATTGGAATTTTTTTATTGGGGCATCAAAGTTATTAATTAATTATAATGAAATTAAGAAAGTAATCTAGCACTTGGGGTCTGTGCAAATCCACCAGAAAACTTCCTATCATGGAGCATTATGAAATTCCCAATAAGTTAACATTCGTTGAGTAGAAAAAAATGAATAATTCAATTAATAAAATTATTAATTTTAACTTGTAACTTTAAAAGAAAACATGTGAATTGTGATAAAACTTCTTACGAATTTAAATTTTCTAAAGAAAATATAACACTCCATTGATTTTTTTTTTTTAAAAGTACATTGTCTTTAATTTCAAGCGGCTTTCTTGTTTCTGTCCAATTCAAATAAATAAATAAATAACCTAACAATTAATAGGTAGAAAGATAAAAATAAAAAACAATTTATATGTAGAGAATAGAGATAAAACATATATTACCTTTTCTTTTCTTTTTTAGAGGTGCAGTAAATGTATGTATGTAATTAAGCACATTCTTATCCGAAGGATGGATTAATTAAAATTTGTGTCCCTGCCTAATAAAGGTCTAATCATTGTAAACCATTGACGTTGACCCTCTTTTGATTTCTTTCACAAAGCTGGACCTAAAAAAAAAAAGAAAAAAAAAAGGTAAGTAGAAGGTTCTCACTTGGATCCCCCTGCAAAAATAATATGATAAGGAAATAGGCCAGTCATGAGAAACAAGGGCATGTGATCACTTAGGTTTCGTGTTATTAAGGAAGGAGAATTGAGAAAACGAACGCTGGACAACGGCGATGGGTGACAAGCTAGCATTTGTTGGAATCAATAAACGGGACCCGCAAACGTTCATAGCATTTGGTTGCCTATTTGTAATAAGAATATTATTATTGAGTGATAATAACAACAAGATCATCACCTACATAGGTCCAAATGGGACAAGATAACCTATGCATATACACATGAAAATAATTTTGTCGCACTTCTTCCTCCAACAATTTGTGGAGTCCAAATGGAAATCCAATCTTATTTAACCTATAATTTTTTTTTCTTTTTTCTTTTTAATCCGACTGGAAAGGCATCTTCTAGTCAATTTATACTTTGATAAAATCAAATTCTCTTTTTATATATATATATATGTTCGTGGTGCATATAGATTTAAAGATGCTTCTTTTCATAGAGGAAGATGATGTTTGTTGCTTCAAAATGATTGGCCTATTATTGAAATAAATATTACATGTTATAAATACGTAACTTTTGATGTAAAGTAAACTAAACTACATCAAAGGATATGCAATACCTCCATGATTTGTTTCAATTTGGACAGCCTGCATATGCATGCTCTTTTAACGGTTGTGTCCTAAAGTCAATTTTGGTGACAAAGAAGTCTTTGTTTGGCATTCTGGTAAGGTGATTTTGTGCAGTCTTGTCAAATCTGATATGAGTTGATTCAAAAATTTTGTGATTTGAAATCTAATATGGATTGATTCTGGAGTTAGACCAATAAAAGAATTGATCCTATCAAAATCTTCAATAACTTGACACGAAAAAAAAAAAAAAAAACATATGTTTAGACTAGGATCCAAATCTTACTGTTCTTTCATCGATAATAATAATAATAATAAAGGTTTTGACAGCACACCAACAATTATGTCACAATTCGTTTTTAATATTATACAATCAGTTGAGAGAGAACGTTGAAAAAAACACAATTACATGGTGAGATTGAAACTCATGTTCTCTTCCCTCTCAACACACAGCATTATCATTTTTTTTTTTAATATGAAAATTGATTAGATTAAAAAAGACAAGAGAATGGTTTATCAGTTTGTTATTGATACACTTTTGATACATTTCCACAATTAATATAAATATATTCATATACTTTTATGCAATACTCAAAATTTTTTATATGTAAAATATTTCTAATTGTATTTTATTTGTCCTTAAAAATATTTGAAATATTTAATCCATTATTTCGGTCAATTTTTTCAGTTATATAAAATTCGAAAGACTTTTAAAATAAATCATTTAGGTTATTTGACCTTAAAGGTTTTAATTTTTATGGCTGTAAAATTTGATCGAAAAAAATAGATAGAATATTTTAAAAAATTTCAAAAAAAATTAGATATAATTAAAAATCTAAAAACAGATAAAAGACTTTAAGTATTATATAAAAACACATAAACATATTTATTTTATATTTATACATTAATATTATTGATCAATTTGACCAATCTACTAACGTTGTAGGTCAACTCACAATCGGCTGACCAAAGGATCTTGATCGGATTATTTGCAGATGATGTTTGACAACTATTTCTATTACAATGCCAAATGATATTTTGTATAAATAAGAATGTATTTTTTTATATGCTTTTAGTTTTTTCTTTTTTTCTTTTTTATGGGCAAATTGAAACTCATAACTAATAAAAATGAGAATATAAGTATCATTCGAGTTACGAATTTGTTGAAAGATATATCAATTATTTTTTTCAGTTCTCTTGAAGGTTAGTTTCCGTTATATGGTGAGAAAAGATATAATCTATCTTTTAAACTTGAAAGTTACATTAGCATTAGTATTTTTTGTTTCTTAAATTATGTCATTTTCACGCCATTTTAACATGCAGAATGTTTCGGTATTTAACAATATGCAGTACGCCACTGCCAAATATCTCCATTGGCAGCCCATTGCCATCACTATTATAATTTATTTTCTCTGTATGTAGACAAGTAGGTAGACCATAATAAAAAATGGATCAGAAACTTCGATGTCATTATCTAACGGTAACTTAATAATTAAAGTCTATCAATAGATGATTAGGGTTTGTAAAAAAAAAAAAAAAAGAGTTGAAATAAATGATTTCATTAAAGATTGTACAGATTTTTATTTCTTTCTTTAAGGAAACCTGGCTCCAACCTATTGTCATCGTTTCGGAAAAGAAATTAGGAAACTTTCTGATTTCAAATTGGAGATTCTCATTTGGTTCTCGTTTTGAGACATTTGGATTGAGTTATTTGCTAGAAGAAAACATCTCCTAAACTTTAGTTTATTTGAAAATCAATTCTTAAACTTTTAATTTTTAATTTAACATTTTGAATTTTTTTTTTTTTTTTACTTTTCTATAATTTATTTTAAAAAAAATAACAATTACATTAATAGTTCATTATGAAAATCTTCCAATAAAATTTATCTAGGACTCTCAAAAAATTTGTGATCATTCCGGATGACTTTCTATTTTTTTATATTTTGAATATTTAAAAAATAAACATATATACTTTTTTTGTTTTTGAAAATTTTCAAGAAAATGAATTGGATCTTTTTCAATGTGTGTCTAAAATTTCAATTCAAAATTCCAAGAACTGAATTTTTTAGAAGAAATAAATGACAATTAACAATCAAAAGATAGACTAAATCTAATTTTTTTAAAAAAGATCA